AGAAAATATTTATCAGTTACTCACTAAAACCTCCTTTAATTTCAAAACCAGTAATTTTTTATGATCCAACTAATGGAAAAGTTCAGCCAGAGCAGTTACGTCACAGCATGACATCTTTATCTAGTTCATTATTGAATGTAAATTGACACAAGAATTTTGTCAGTTTTGAAATACTTGTCAAACGCGGCGTCAAGATCAATTATCTTTAGCTAAGACATAGGGATCATTTTTGATTACAACTCCTCTGACTAGACTTTAGTTGCTGTCTAAATTTCATATCGGTACCTCAAACCATTTATATTTTTTGTACTTCTTTGTATCTTTTGAAGTATATGTTTTAGAACATATGTTCATTAACCAAAGTAAGTGATACCTCATTTAGTTCAAAAATTAGAGGAACGCTTTTTAACCTAAGGTAAGTGATAATTTCAACTAATAAAAAGTCCTTTCCAAGGATGCTACCAAGCAACTATTTAACCCTACAAAACAGACGACAGTGGAACGGAACAATAGCCGTGACCGAGGCTAAAACTGCGGCCGAAAAAAAAATCAGTTTTTTTACCCTCGCCATCTTCCACCCCCGCGAACAAAGAAACCCCAGGCGAGTGCACCGAATGCAGTAGCAGCGGCGGCAGCAGTATCGATATATATATAAAGCGGCGGCCGTTCCACACGGTTTAGCTATATATATATATATATATATATATATATATACCGCCCGCCTGGACGTCGAACAAAAATAATACAAAAAAAACACACGAACCTGCAACGAAAAACACGGGGAAAAAATCGTCGAGTCTTTTTTTCTTCGCCGTCGACACCCCCGCGTCTCCGTCGTCGAGACGCGCAGGTCCCGAATCGATCGGCGCCGCGTCGAGACGCCCACGACGTCTCCTCGCCGTCTAGCAACGGCGAAGGCGACGGAGACGACGTCGACTGTGTATCCTGACCTGCGGCACCCTCGACGCCATTCAGCAGGACTCCGTCGTCGTCGTCCACCTGGTGCGACGCCGATCGGTCGATCCCGGTCGAAGCGTGAGCGAACGGTAGCCATGTTGGTGTCAATTCTACCGTTTTTCTCTACGCTTTATTTGGCGTAAGGCAACACGACAAATATATCTAAATTACTCGTCTTTCATTATAATAATATTGAAACTTCACCATGCTTACAGTCCCGATACTACTCCCATAGAGAATGTTGGGAGCCTCTTCGCAAAAGACATTTTAGACCAAAGAATTCTAATGGGTTATGGGAAGTTATTCGCAAATGCTGTGAAAAGCGTAATCCAATTCCAGCCGGATTGGTTTAGGTAGTCGTCAAGTTTAAAAATTTGTAGATAGATTTTAATACATTAAATTTACTTATCACATTTTATATGTTTTTGTTTTTTTTATCAGCGTCGATACGAAAATATGGCAAAATCTAGTGATAAAACTTGTACCCATTTTTAGTAAATAAAACGGTACAATTAAAAGAAAGGTACACCATCTTTATTTGACGAGCTGAAGACGCGAAAAGTTGGGCTTTGCAAAGCACTGCCGCCTTCTTTTTAAAATATTTAACATTTAAACGGTGATTTTTTGAGTGTGTGGTTTTTGAAGTTCAACAAGATAGCACAGGAAAATCGGAGAAAGCGTACAATTTTTATTGGGGATCAAAAATGAATGTTGGCCACGACTACTTTTAAGCGATCGGTACGAATAGTTAATTTTTCGAAAATAGCGGAATCGATGCTGATTTATCATCATAAATAAGAGATTTGACTTACTCCCACCAGAAATGGTCCAACAGCGTCAAATCGCACGATATAGGCGGTCAATTCCCTGGTCTAAAACTAAATTTATTGCGCAATAGAGTGCCATCGGTGGGGTATTCTGCGCAAAAAAAGATTTTGTACGTAGTGAAATACCACGATCTCATTTGCTCCGGACGACGACGAATGAAGCAATAACGAGTGGGTGGTTTAATATCTAATAACGCGAAATTGGTGTAAAATTTGGCCACTATTGGCATGAACAGCCCTGCTTAGTAGGGCGATTATGATGACCTTAAAATGATCGAGTGTGCGAAACATCATTTTTTTCAATAAAATTTACATGATTTGTAAGTCTCCAAGCAGCAAAATAATAAAAACCATTCTATTCCATTCTATTAAACTTTTAAGTTAGGATAATGAAGGTAGATAAAGTTCGCCGAACGATATACCGTTTTCACAACCTTTTATGGTTTCGACTTCAGAAGGAGTTTAATACCCACCTGTTGCAAAGCGGACTAAAGCACGTGTACCACAAGCCAGAATCGTATTTGGGATGTTAGCTAACAAGAACAGTACCGTGCGGAATGTTGTGTTTTAAAAGTAGGGAAATTTTCTTTGATTAAACTGTTATATTAATTATATTAGTGCTTTTTTATCACCCTAAAACAGTGCCTACTCAAGGTAGCTCGATTTCAAGCTGAATTTGCCATTAGATAGGTTGATCATCTATACTAAAAACACATTAGAAAGCTGAAACTGATTTCCAATTTAAGAGTTTAACATAATGACTATAAAATATTGTCCTAGGAAAGCCATATAAAATATTTCGGACTTAAGATTATATTTTAACATTCTTTTATAGCTACATTTATATTTATAATAAACATCTTAAAGTAAGATTGGATTTTTCACTGCATGGACTAATAATAATCGAGCAATCCCGCTGGACACGAAGTACCGAAGTACGGTTCTGGAACGTCATTGTTGAATTGCGAAACTATTTATTGAAGCCAGGTAGACTTGCGGTTAGACCTTCATAAGAATTTACCAAAATTAAATACCGGATTATGTCGTAAAAACAGTATATGGTTGGGCGACCTATACCTAAAATAAACTTATGGGATCTATTACTTATCTACCTGCCGGGTCGACATTAAAGACCCCCCTAGTCCCCACCCGAAACGTCGAACAAAAAAATTACAGATACAAAAGGAACATCAAGAAAGACGAATGGGGGGAAAAAAGGAATCGGGCGGCCGCGAAAAACCGTCTGGCTCGGTGGAGGACGTCGGGGTCTGTGGCGGGGGGGTGTCCCGCGACCTTGCCGTCGCCATGACGACGAGACAACGCTTACCCCCGCGCCTAGCCCCCACCGCCGCCGCGCGTTTCTTTGAACCCCCCGCTCGCTCCTGACGGCGAATAAAAAAAAAGCGTGTTATGTACAGAGAAATTTGTTATATCGAATTCGGGGAAGAGCCGGGCTCTCCCCGCCACTGACTGTAACACGCCCGGATATCCAGGGACGTATTGACTTCGAAAGTACAACCCAAAACCCGCAAAAACTAGACTCTAAACTCATGAAAATATTGTTTTTGAAATCCTTAATTTGAATAATAATAATAATATATAATTTTCAACACTCCGCCAATTTGGGTCTAATTTTGAATACAAAATTGAATTTTACCAATATTATTCTACGTTTGGCATATTCTATTTTATTAATCCCTTTGCCCTAAATTTATGCCTTGTGATTCTTTAATATAGACGTTTTATATATTATATGTATTTATATTATAAATATATAACCCGTTTTTAATAAACGAAGAATACAAAAAATCCAAAACTCTTGGGTGAGAGTTATTTTTGAAATAAGCAAGCCTCGGAAGGTGTCTTCGCGACCTTGATGATTTGTATACTTGGCACATTCGATAAGAGAATATAAAATACATATACAATAAAATAAAATATAATATAGTAATTTATTTATAAAATAATTAAGACAAAAACACCATTTCGTATTCAAATCCAGGAATCCAGACGATGTGTATATACTAGTAAAGAATGTGGAAGTTTCTTTGAATATTAAAATGTGCTATATACTACCTAATCAAATCCTTAAGCTATCACTATGTACAGAAGTTATTTTATATATCTAGGTATTTTTATTTTTTAATTGCGTTTAAATGCAACTTACACTAACTGTAACTATAATTTGTCATACTACTCATCAAAACCTTAACCTGTATATATTTCATATATCGATATACAGGGTGTTCCGAAATTGATGCCCAATTTTACGTCAGAAGTAGGCCCTTGTTCTTAGAAAAAACGTGTTTTTTATCATTTTCCAACCATCACATCAAGTAGCAACAGACATTTTCATTATGTAACAGCAGTTAGCAGTAGCGTTCGTGTTAAATTTGAATCTTTATGGTTTTAATGTTTAATATTTTTGTCATAATTTCGGAGATATCGTCATACAACAGTTTTTTATTGTATTATTTGAAAAATTGAATAGGGATTTCACAAATAATTTTAGGAAAAACCAATAGTGCACGGGTTTTTGCCTGAAAACTATTCTATAGAAATCTGACACATTTTTTGAAAAATATTTCGCAACAGAAAGGGGTGGTTTTTGCCTCGTGATAGCAATGTACAAAACATCTAGATTTTCAACATCTCGGAAAGAAAGATTTTCCCGACACATTGACTTATTTGCGACGTAAACTAAGCCATAAAAATTTGGTGCATTTGTTTCAGAACAGCGTCCATATACATCGATCCAATTTTGATCAGGTAACTTTTAATTTTTGATATGTTCTTTCAGTGTTGGTCAGTATGCCAAAATTAAACAAAAATTTTCAGCATGCTTCAGTAACATGTCGTCTCCGCAGAATGCTCACAACTGATTTCCTTTATTGCGTAATTTATGAGCATTTTATCTTTAGAAAAGTTACAATGTAGTCCGAGTCCGCAGCTGTACGCTAGGCCCGGTAGGTTGATGATGAAGTATGAATATTTTGATCGAACCGAATTTTCGAGAGATGGATGGCCGAGCCCCGAACGGGAGCGCTGGCTCCCCCCCCCCCCCCACACCCAACACGACCCCAACAGGGGCACAAGAAAAAGCGACCGGGTACAAACATTTTTTCGTTCGATATAATTGGGGTTTCGATGTTTATTGAAAAAGAAAAACTCATCTGCCTATAGTATAATCCGAAGTGTATTTTTGTTTCATTTCAGCAGTGCGGTCAGCACGGCAAAGACGACTACCCTAATTGGGGCAGGAACCCGATGGGAATGGGAAAGCAGGGATATGAATCGAAGATGAACGATCACAACCAAATGCAAAAAGGTAAGTCATTTTTGTCTACATTGTTGACCGAGGGGTTTAAAACCGTGGTTTCATCAACCTGTCCTGGCTAAGGTCCTTTATCTCTATTTTCACTGTAACACTGTTGTTCTAGATTTTATGGTGCTCAAATGTCAATTAATCCTGTTTTATAGATCCATCTTTGCCTCCAACGTGCACAACTTTTCTTTAGTGGCTTTATAAAGAAAAACGAAATTAAGCAAAATATAAACGAATCAAAACAGAGATTGCTAGGGAAGAATAAAGGTTTCTTTCAAACGCTGAAGTACATTAATGTTAATCCTAAGCCCAGCTCTAAGCCTGATGGTTTCGGTAGAGCTGAATCATTTAATTTTTTTTATCCTATTATTCCTGAAGTGCACGATGTGGAGAACGATATTACCAATGAATACTATGGCAACAGACGATTTAAACAATTTAAAAATGAATTTTCTTTTTCTGAAGTGACTGAACAGACAGTGGACAAGGTCGTTAGTTCCGTTTCCTTTGTTATGGAAAAAGTCTCACGTTGTGCCCTCCAAATACTTTCTTTGACTTTCGCCCAATCGTTGTCCAGAGTATTAGAGAGGGTCATATGTGAACAATTAAATGAGTACTTGCTAATAAATGGTATTTTACCAACCACTCAATCAGGTTTTGTTTCTGGCCATTGCACCGTTACGGCTCTTTCGTGTGTGTCGGTTGACTTGCTGAGGCAACAGGACATTGGTAAAAATACTTGTTTGGTACTTTTGGACTTCAGCCAGGCGTTTGATACGCTAGATCAAAGTGTACTTCTCGAAAAAGTTGAGTAGTTTGGAACATTTCAGCTTAAAGAAATTGAGACTTGTTTGGGGGGCCGATGCCAGAGAGTAGTGCCGGGGGTAACTACTTCTTTTTGGCCCTAATAGAGAGAGTGTGTGTGCGATAATTATAATTTTAATATAATTTTATATAATTTTAGGTCAGTGCATGTGAATGTCTGTAAAAAACTTGAGAATTCTGATAGATAATAAACAATAATAAAAAAAAAAAATTTTTAAATGAAATCACCTTACATGTTTAAGAACATTCTTACGACGGACATTCGACTAAAACTGTGTGATAGCGTAATAGTATCGAACTTGGGGTATGGAGACTTTGTTTATTGGCCGTGTTTTACTTTACTTGCACAAATTCAGAATTCTTGTTTACGTTATTGCTATAGCCTTAGGAAATATGGTAATATTATTGACTAAAACAGTCTAAGTGGTTGAATCTCTCTCTGCACCTTGCACCTTACCACTCTAGTACATAAAATTAAAAGCACTGCAGAGCTCTCCTATTTATTTAACAAATTGTTAAAAGGGTCCATCACCCACCAGCGTGTTACACAGCACAGCGAGTTGTACCATATTCCCAAGCCCAATACTGCCACGTTTCAGAGATCTTCCTTTTATAACGTTATTGGAGTTTGTAATAACGTAATTATCTGCTGCTGTTAAAGCCTGTCCATCTGCTAAGTCGTTTATAAATAAGTTCAAAGATGTATTGTTAATGAGGAGGGAATGAGTCCCTTCATTAAGTATATAAATAATTAATCGAGTTTCTTTTTTTATTTCTTTTATTAATTTATATGTGATTGGTTAATTATAATTCTTATGTTTTCTTAAGGGTGGTTAGACGAGCAGCTATGTTAGATCACGCCCCTAAGTGTCTTTATTTATTGTATAACGTACCCCTACAGAAGACATTTTGAATTGAATTGAATCAAAACACATGTCATCTCATAATTGCTCAATGTGGTTCATATCGGGGTTCTAATTTCCGTTTCATGGAGGTCATTTTGCACTACCCTAGTGCATGGAGCGTTATATACATCGATTCAATTTTAATCAGGTAACTTTACTACATCTAATTTTTGATCGATCAATAACAACACTGTACAATAATGCGGTAGTTGTATAGACGCACAAAATTACTGCTAGAGTGCAAATCGATTTCGTAGTGCCTGCATTAGCAAATATCGATATTGATTATTTATTGTAACCCTATTTCCTGCTTATCCAGGTCTTCTTGCCAGTGCTCTGGATGTCCTAGCGGAATGCCACTTGAACTGATTTTTCATCTCCCGCGCTCGTTGGGCAATTTTGCTTTCAAACAATCTTGATAAGATTCCCGTTTGTTGATATGGTGCAAACTCCACAGTAGAAGCATAAAACACGAACTGATAAGGATAATAAACAATTCAACTTTTTATGAAATGCATCGTACTGTTTCCATGCATCGATAAAGTTAAAATACGTCATAAAAACATCATTTTAAACCATTGATACCCATTATAAATTCTCATCAATTAATGGTAATTTTGCTGCACAGTGTAGATTGGTTTTTCTTAAATTTCGAGCAGGAATTCTTAAGTTAAGTGTGGAGAAAAGATGTGAAGAATAAATTTATTAAAAGATACAAAAATATATAAAAATATTTAATTTAATTTAAATATTTTTATTTTATTTATTTTTTATATATTTAATTTTTTATCCAAGCCTGCTGTTTAATGTGGGACTTAAAACGCGGCTTAAATACTGGCTTACATCTTTGTTGGAGAAATAACTTTGGTATCAGGGTGTTTTGTGCTTTGGTATGACGTAGAGAACAAAAAAATGTGGATATGATCGAACTTCATTAAGTTATAACTAAAATCGAATGCAAAAGTTATGGATCATCTATAAGCCCTTCCAATCTAGACGCAATAAACCCAACTAGTTGTCACTAAACAGCTCCTTAGCCAAATCGCGTTCCTTGCGGTTGAAAAGCTGGTTTGTCGAGCAATTGCAATTGCTAGGTAGGTGTAAAATATAATTTTTTGCATTTTTGCTATTTAGTGTTTCTTGAGTCACATCTTTCAAAACAGCAATTTGTGGTGTGTTGGATTTGGAACCCGTAATTGCGAATAATACTAAGCTAAAATTTGAAAGTAGGAAGATTCTAGATTCCAGTGGGTCATTTAAAACGATTCTTGGCTATTAACGAACTCCCCCTCCCCCACCCGAAAGTGGCCGCACCAGGCAAGATTCTATTTCGAGTGAGACTCTTAAAACAATTCCCGGTTATTGACGAACTAAACCTCCCGTATATCCCAAACGGGTTCTTGAAAGTGTCCACAGCCTTATATTTTTTAATTCAGAATACAAAGATCTGTTCAGGACTAAAAAAAATAAAGGTTCATTTATATCAAAACCCAAGATGGAGTCGTTTGTTAGACATTTGATAGATATTTTTTTATTTACATGGAAAACGTCTTTTGAAATTTAAAACTAGGGAATATGAAAGATTCTATTTGATTTGATGATTTGATGATTCTCCAATATTCCGAATTAAACTCCCCGTAAATCCCAAATGGGTTCTTTAAAGTATCCACAACACCGTTATATTTTTTAACTCTGAATACAAAGATCGGCTACCTCGAAAACCAAGATGGTGTCGCATCTTGGACGTTCGACAGATATTTTTTTTATTTACACGGAAAACGTCTTTTGAAATTTAAAAATAGCAAATATCGAACATTCTATTTCGAGTGAGACGCTTAAAATTATTCTCCTATATTGACGGACTAAACTCCTTGTATATCCCAGATAGGTTCTTTAAAGTATCTAAAACAACGTTATACTTTTTAACTCGGAATACAAAGATCAGCTACCTCGAAAACCAAGACGAGTTAGACACTTAAAATGATTCTCCACTATTGACGAATTAAATCCCCTGTAAATCCCAAATGGGTTCTTTAAAGTATCCTCAACACCCTTATATTTTTTAACTCGTAATACAAAGATCAGCTACGTCGAAAACCAAGATGGCGTCGTATCTTCGATGTTACCTTTCTTCATCACAGATTTGCCTTGCTCGCTCAAATTTAAACGAAAAACGTCTTTTACAATTTGAAAATAGCAAACAGGGAAGATTATATTTTGAGTGAGACAATTAAAACGATTCTCCAATATTGACGAATTGAAAACTCCCTGTAAATCCCAAATGGGTTCTTTAAAATTTCCACAACACCGTTATATTTCACGTTGAAAACCAAGATGGCGTCGTATCTTGGACGTTTGACAAATATTACCGTTTCTAATCAGAGATTTGGCTTCATCGTTAAAATTTACAAGGAGAACCTTCCTTAAAATTTGAAAATACCAAATAGGGAAAATTCCGTTTCGAGTGCGACGCTTAAAATGTTGTCCCTGTACATTTATAGCGGTTTCGGCGATCATTTTCATCGTCAGGGCGCGATCGCGACATTTCGTTCATCGGAGCGCGTCGGCAACATCGCGTAACGCATCGCCGCCCGTATTATCAATGGTCTAATAGAAAATAACTAAGAAGTCATCTTCCGACGCGATACGAAACAAAAAACACGGATTCGATCCAATCGAAAACTTATGAATTAAAGTAGAAAATAGAAGAACATGCATGAAATTGGTTTTGTCGTGAACGCCGCGTTAAGCGGGTCGATTGTTTCTTTTTTTCGTTACCCGTTCACCGTTCGTTACCGTAATTTGTACGGGGCGCGTCTAAACAAAAGAAAACGACCCGAACTGGCCAGGAAAACCCTGCCTGTACTTTCGTAGACCATTCAAAAACGAAATATTATCAAAAGTTTGGCTTTCTTATCACGTGGGAAGACACCCGTTGCTTTTTGAAGATTGTGATGGGACGATATAGTCTATTTCAAGCGGATCTGGAGAAATAAAATTTTTTTCATTAGATTTACACTATCACACCCATGTGTATTGATTTCGTAGCAAAATTATTTTTTTAACCGGATGCAGGTAGTACCACCAGGGTTAAGGTCAAGTTATGGGTTTCACCAACACTGGATATGATGTGTCACAGGCATCTCGTTAGGAAAAAGGAAAGAATTTAATTTGAGCAGAATAAAAATTTGGCATTAATACCGTTATTTTTAATTATCATTAACACTTTACGAAAAATACATTATACTGAAATTGAGTTGTCTAAAATCATAA